ATCTTTAAATATAAAATATGAATTTTAAGTATTTTATTAGATTTTTATAAGTATCTATAGTAAAAAATGATTAATTTATGCAGCAAATGCCATTTCCGAATAATTACCATATGTAATTTTGATTTCTGAATGCATTCAATTAATATTATATTACATTTATACATCCAATAATATTTTATGAAAATAATATATACAAACTAACACAAATAATATTTTATAAAGATGATTTGTACATGATAATAATTGTTGAATTCATAAAATAATCCCATTAGCTAATATGGTTTACACTATAATTATGTGAATTATTAATGCTAAACATGCAATTTTTATATAAATAATCAACAAAATTTGACCACTAGAATGTTTGAAAACAATATGTACAATTTTTATTTAAATAATTCAGATAAATGAAAACAGTTAGAAACACCATATATATATATATATATGTGTGTGCATAATTGATATGTGATTATTATATTTTTTGTATAACATAAGATACACAAATAACAAAACAAACTATTAGGTTTTTTTTTTTTTTTTTTTTTTTTGGACATCAACAAACAAAAACAAACTATTAGGTACTATATCTATATAGCATGCAAAATAAAAGTCTATAAAGAAATATTTTTTAAAATTAGTTTATATATGTACAAAATAATATATCCATTTTTACAATCAATATAGCTTTTAAATGGTTAGTTGATGAAAAAGTAACTTCATTTTGTTTTTGGATATCTAAAATCAATTTAAAATTTACTTTTAAATTATATTATAGATTTTTGTATATTTTTATCTATACAATCCAGAACTAATGAAAATTTACTAAATATTACTTTTGTATGTAGTTTTAATTATCTATATAGCATCAAGGATATTTTGTAAAAAAAATTATTTAAATCAATTAAAATGTGAAACAATTTATCAGATTTTACAATAAATACTAAATTTTATAGATTTAATGGCAAATATTAAATATGTTTGTTATATATAATTAATTTTTTACTTTAAGTTATATTATATATATTATTATAAATATAATACATAAGTAATAAAATTACTAACCACTAATTAATATTTTTATTATTATTATTTATAAATATACAAGGAAAGGTTTTAAATCTATCTTTTCTTAAATGCAAAAAAAATAATTTATAACACAAATACGAACATTGATGAAACAATTTCCTTAAATAATTAGTATATTTTATTATTTTAAATTTTAAAAACATACGGTATAAGTTTATTGTCCATAAATACTGTGATATTTCATTGGATTATTATTTTGTATTTTATTTTTTTATCATATATTAATTATATACAATATCTAATGTTTTTTGTATCTTTAGATATTTAATTCATATAAAATTATTAATAATACAATAAGTAAGGAATTATTTGAAATTTATTTATTTTTATGTCAATTTTATATTATTCATGTACATTAATATTTAAAATTATCAAAATAGAAATTATATATAATATAAATGGAGTACTTATTTTTGGACAGAAAAAATGATATTTTTAAAAAATATACGAAAAGGTAAAATGATTTTATATCGTTTTCATATCTTATTATCTGTATCGATATATATATAACTATGTATTTATTAACTATGTATTTAAGAAAGAATTTGTAAACTATATTATCATTTGAAACAATCATTAATTTATTATATTTTTAACATTTTTTTAATAATAATCAATGCTAATAAGATTAGTTAGTTTCTAGTACGGTGTAATTAAAGATTATATTATGTGTTATTTCATATTAGTACGTAAACTTTAATAGATAAAAATGTGATAAAATTTATTGCTAAATATGATTTGTTTTGTTATTGATATAAGTTAGTTCTTGATTTAAGATTGCATAATTAATTAAATAAATCAAAAATAAATAAATCTTCAACCAATCAAATTACACAATTTGATTGGTGAAATCTCCTATGAATAACACATCAGCAAAAATCACCTAAGTCATTTCTAATGAATACAGTTTAATTATATAAAACATAAAACCTTGATTGATTCATATGCCTTTTCAGATTTTGCAGTCAAATATTAGAAAAAGGAATAACGATTAAAAAAATGATACTAAAACATTTTTTTATATTATTTTTAGTCAAACATACTATATGAAATTAAATTTTAATAAATAAAATGGAGGATAAAAGAAGAATTAAAACTAAGTCAGATTTTCGTTTTTTTTTTTTAAATTTAGTCAAACATAACACTAAAGAGATGAAACTTAGTAAAGGAAATGGATTAAAACAAAAATAAAAAGTCACATTTTCATATTTTATTTTAGTTAAATATACCATTACAAGAAAAAAATATTCTAATAAAATAAAGGGAAGAAAGAAATCCAAATAGAATCATTCATATTTTATTTTAGTAAATATCTTTTTAGTCAAACATACCATTTTAATAAAATAATTATAATAAAGAAATATAAGTAAACAAAGAAACAAATTTAAAAAAATCCAAGTCATATTTTATTTTAGTATAGATTATTATTATAATTAAAAACATTATAATAAAGAAATAGAAGAGAATACAAAGAAACAAATCCAAAAAAAAAAATCCATATTTTATTTTAGTCAGAATACTATAAAAATAAATAAGTATTAATTATCAAAATCCAAAACAGAATATGATGACCCACTTACTCTTAATTAAACAAAGTTATAAGCAATAAAATAAGCAATAAATAATATTAATTCAACATAAAATAAAAGTAAAACCAGATGTGTTATGGTCTAATGGGTCATGTAGTGAGTTTAGTTATGTTTTGCCTTGGGTTAAAATCCCCAGTTGTGTAAAGTGTTTACATGGGAATTTTCAAAAGCTGAATTTGGAGACTCTAAGTCAAATATTCAAAATTCTTCCTCTCTCTCTCTCTCTCTCTTTCAAATTAGTCCGTACCATAATTTTGTAAGCAAATTAAGAAATTAATTAAATATTTAAATGTGTCATTGTTTCACCATTGAAATTTTATAATATTTTCTGTTTATATTAATTTAATTAAAAATAAAAGAAAACTAATAAAAATGTATTGAAATTATTAAACCACACTTATTCTGTAACAAAAATTTTATGTTGAACGACACTCAATTTATGCTGAAACGACAAGGAGAGAATATATTATTAAAAAGGTCAAAAAACTTAAATTATTTTATTTTTCTAATTACCATATACTATCATCTTTTACGTTTCTTAATAGATGTAGCCTCTATAATTCTTGTTTTTTATTCAAAATTTTTAATATTTCATCAATTTAATTTGTTTCCATGGTTCTCTATGATTCATGATTCCTTTGTTTTTTTTATAATAGGTTATGGAGCTAAAATAGTGTACTTGCTTATAACTTATAAGAATATCTCCATTGATGAATCGTAAGTTTGAAATTCTCGGAACATATATATATTTTTTAGCTGTGTGATTTTTAGGTTTATGAAAAATGTAACCAAAAGTATCTGAAAAGAAAATATTTTGGGTTGTGTTTCTCATAAAAATAAAATTTTCATAATTAAATAATATATATATATATATATAATTTAGAACCTCAAGTCTAGAACTCTTTAATGGGGGTGCTCTACAAACGACTTTAGTGAAACTATATAATATTTTACTTCAATTTAGATCATGTTTAATTATATATGTGTGTGTATATATATATATATGATTTTTATATTCTTATATGTATATTGAAGATGTTTCTATTCTTATATTTTCCAAAAATGTTTACATGTTTCAAATGCAATATAGTGGTTTTCTTGGTCGACCTAAAAACAGTATAGCAATTGACTAATAATTACTCCTTTTTTAATATTTGACGTCTTAGGATTATGCAAATAAATTAAGAAACATTTATTTTTTTCAATTTCTAAACAAAAACATCACTAATTGATTACCTAACTACAATTCAATCAATAATAAAAATAAAATAACATTAATTATTAATAAATTTTACATAGAAAATTAAAAACGTCAAATAATTTGGAAAAAAAAATTCTCTAAAACGTCAAATATAAAAAAACGAAAGGAGTATATTCCAAGAAATTAGTAAACCTAGTTTGGGAAAAAATATAATAATACACCGAACTAAAATGTTACTATTTTAATACATGCTTTTAAGGACATAGAACAATACAAATGCAATATAGGGGCTTTCTTGGTCGAGCCGAGACAGAACTTGTCGTGGATCATGGCTTGTACTAGATCACGAAGGAACTACTTTGTTTCACAGCTGAAGGTCCTTCTCATAAGTACAGTCTCTCATCGAGGCAGAACTGTTGAGTTATCTTAATGGCCAGTGCAAATATGAGACAAGATATTACTACTTTTGAATATTCTATGGAGCAAGCAAGAGAAGTTATGCTTCACCCTTAACAGATCCCACTTCTCCACAGTCTCATGGATGAGAGATATCAATCTGCCTCAATTCCATGAGCTTATTGTCTTTGGACAGACCATACTTTGACTGCAGGTAACTAGGTCAAAGTGTCTCAGTGGTCGATGAGTCTACTATGTATACCCAAGGACTAAAGTTCAAAGTGAATTCAAATGTAGCTGACTAGTTGATTAAAACTAACTGTAGACATGGAATATATATATATGAATAGTCTAACGAATGAAGACAATAATATGAAATTAAGACTCAACCTCCCAGAACTAACAAATAAACAAAACGGAAGCAGAATAGACTACAAGATATCGGAGAAGAGAAAGAAACTTAGAGCACCCCCATCAAAGGTTTAGATGGGGGGTTTATACATTTTTCAACACAAAAAAATATTAAAATAACCAAATCCTATAATCCCCTCTCTCCTAAAACTCTCTCTAGTGATCCCCTCTCTCATGGAGTTCATCACTGTATAACACGGGCCACACGACACGTGACGGCCCGCGATTGGTCTATCTTTTTTTTTTTTTTAAAGTAAAAAAAAAACAAAAAAATTTAATAATAAAAAAAGGAAAAGATGAACCCCAAAGGGGGGTTCATTGGTGTGGATGCTCTTAGATTGATATAAAAGAGAAAACATCCAAACTGGAAATATCCCTCTAAAATTACAACAACCTCTTACTGTTTGGTTAGTTGGAAACACAACAACATAATGTCTTTTGTTTCTTCTATACCAAACTATTAAAATAAAAATGCAAATGAGTTTTAAATAAAGATAGATGCAACAACATTAAAAAAAAAAAAAAGAACACTCCTAACCATAAACACCAAGGCTATGTCTAGGCTGTCTTTCTCGGACCATTATTCTTCAGAAATCAGATCTGGGCTTCATCCATTGCCTCCTCTGGCTGCACTTCTTCCATGGCTTCTGGCTGTTCCACGGCTCGTGCATCCACCTCTTCCACAGCGTGTGGCTGCCCTTGTCCCACGCCATGTGGCTCCACGGTCAAAATTGGTATTAGTCCTTCCAACGCCGGTCTAACTTGCGACATTGTTGTAACATGGTCGCTCCCAATACCAGCCTTCAGCACTTCCAAGATTGCTTTTGCTTTCTCGCACTGAAACATTCAGAGATCAAAACCAAACATAAGAGTCATGAATTCAATCCAAAAAGGCAAATCAAATAAAGGGCAATACTGTTCATCATATTCAACTAAACTTACAGCTAAGTCAAGCTTTCTCTTGAGTTCTCCAACGGCCGAGTCCTGTGTCCCAGTAACTTCCCAGATGGACATTGGTGTTGCACTCTAGATTCATAAAAGGCAAACAAGTTAGGTATAAAGTTCACCAGATTCAAGACAGACAATAATGTTTAAGCAAAAAAGACAACTCTTTAAGTCCTTGTACCAATTGAAACACGTTTCCAATGAGAAAAATGGGGGTAAAATAAACAAGAATAAAGCGAAACAACACCGACCAAATAAAGACAAACCAAAAGCGAGGGGACAGGAATATAATAAGACAACATGTGGAAACTAGTCAGGTTTTAGATTCTCGAAAACAGACAACCCGACAATTATTTAATTAACAAATGATTGCAATAAAGTAAAAAACCTTTTACACAGATAATTGCGAATCTATCTCGAAAGATGACAAAGATTGTAATAATATAGGGGATAAATAAATTACCTTTCTAGGTCTGTTCCTTCTGATCTTAGATGGACGTCCAGGTCCACGCTTCCTCCCTCGTTCCATCCTTGCAGCCACACTCGGAGCTTCAAGGGCTAGAACCGCACCCGCAGTTGGAGCGTTAGGAACAGATCCGTCCCTCCTTGGACGACCAGGTCCTCTGTTTGTCGGCTCCCCAACCAACTGTCTCGGACTGGTTACAGGCAACTCGGGTTGCTGGCCACGGCTTGACTGTCCGTAGGACACAGAGATGGGTTGAGCATCGATGGGTTCGGGCCTAGCCTTTGGAGGGCGTCCACGGCCTCGCTTCTGAGGCTGAGGAGCCGAAGCAGCGCTGGAAGCAGATGCATTTGCCAGCAGAGAAAGCGGAGAGATGTTCGTCGGAGGAACCTCAGATCTAGGAGCCTCGAGATCTGCCGCACCAACAGCCATGCGCTGCGGAGGAGGAGAAAAAGGTCAGCACTTAAGAAAAAAAAAAAAGACCAAACCGAACTGCATGTGTTTAAAATATAAGACTTTGCCAAACTTACGCTGTGGTAAGGAGGGTCGATTATTGTAGGCAGCGGCGGCTGAGAAGTAGGCGTTTGCAGCTGGGACTGAGGCACGAACTGGGGACGGGGCTGGAACTGGGGAATGGAATAGGCACCGTTAATTAACGGAGACAGGCTAACAGTTCGTAGGAGAATGGGTTGGTTGGGAGGAGTGACATGACCGGGGACAAGGGGGGTGTTAGAAGGATGGTTAGGGTCCATCTCAAAAGAAACAGTGAAAATAAAAAATAAAAAAAAAATTTAAAGACTTTAATTTTTCTTTTTGATTATTGTTTGCTTTGTAAATGTGAGATATGAATATAAACAATTGGGAGTTTAAATAGATAAATTTGGGTTGAAATGATAGGCTGGCTGGGATTAGATTAGGAAGAAGATTTGAATCATTTGACTATGGAAAAATCTTAAACTTAACATTTGAATAATATTTTTAAGATGCATTTTTGACTAAGATTCATGACATTTTTGTTAATTTTTTAATTTTTTTGGACTTTTTCGACCCAAAATGTCAGAAAATAAACCAAATCAAATCCTGTCATGATTTTATAAAATATATGTCTCATATTAGTGTAAATAATTTATACTTCCTCTGTTCCTAAAATATTCATATTCTAACTTTTTTTACACTTTTTAATAAAAAATATAATAAATCTGCATAGTTTTTTGTATTCATCTTCTTTTCCATAATTTTAAACAAACAAAAAAAAATCAATTAGTGCAATTAAGTTTTTTGAAGTTTACAATTATTAATAAAAACTATATTAAAAATGTAAAAAATGGATCTTTTAGAAACAAATTTTTTTCTACAATATGTATCTTTAAAGAACGGATGGAGTATATATATTTCTTGGAAAAATAAAACAAGAATATCCAAGTTACAAGAAATAAACAAGGACATCTATTGCTTTATCATACATAAAAGAAGTGTAACAATCATTTTTGCATTAAACTTATGTGACAAACTTCAATAAAGAGTGTATGATAAGCAAATATAAAGGACTGTCTGCACGAGTAACTACATTGACGAAATTAATACAGAAAGGTGTTATAAATGGACTGGTTTTTAAAATTACTGTACTTGTGATACACACATAACAATGGGCTGATATTGCTATTGATTAGATAATTGATATATACTCGATGCATAAATGATGCATTTACGTCAACATACGTAAACAAGAGGTGTACAAAGACAATATGTATACCATCAGATTCTTCCGGGATGAAAGGAATATTGACTGTCATATGAATAGTTTATTAACGAGAATTCGGCCAAAAAAAACACCAACTTTGCACGAAAAAAACACCAACGTCGTTTCATCCTAACGTCAACAACTAACGCGCGAGTTAACACCGTCTTAACTGCTCGTTAACGGTGTGTTAAAAAGACGAGTCAATCGTAAGTTTCTTAATAAACTAATAAAGTCAACAAAAGTTCTTGTTTCTTTTGGTCAGACTCGAATACAGGTTTCTTTTGGCAATTCGTGCAAAGTTGGTGCTTTTTTGGCTGAATTCTCATTTATTAACTTGTAACTTGTTCATTATCATGTTATTGGTCGACTATTTTCTCACGAGAATTATTGTATAGTATCAAATTCTTCTAAAATTCAGATTGAATTTTATTTATTTATTCTCAAATATAAAATTTCAGCCTTATTTCTCACGATATTAAAGTTTCATACTTACATCCTTATGTATATAAAGTACAAAATTTAAAAGCCATAGAACATGATTGAAATTGGTTTACTATTTTAAAGTAAATCACAAATCATTTTAAACCAACAATTAACCAAGTTAAAATCCAATTAAAATTGTTAAATAAAACAAAAAACCACCAGATTTAGAACCAGACCCGATTAAACTAACAAAATATTTGTTCGAAGAACCCAAAAATATCAGAAATCCAAGTTAATGTTCATCATCACTGTTAAGTACTGTTGATCATCACTTTTGTTTGGAAAGCACCCAAATATCAGTTGTCATTGTCGTATTTTGATTGCCATTGTGTATGAAGAGTCTATATCTAATAAATATTGAAACTTTCTTTAGAAACAAAACATCCCTTTTCACCAACCTAACCAAAAGGTCTTAAACTACACATCTCTTGATTATAAACATAAACACATAGATATAAATTGTTCATTCATAAGCATAAACAATCTCCAGTGAATGTTCTATGCAAAGTTCTATGCATCGTGATTTTCATCTGAAAAACAACATTTTTGTGTTACTATTCATCATCACTTCCGAGTAATGATCAACATCTTCTTCAGTTTGAGTTTTATTATGACAAATTATTATTTCTTTGTTATGGAGAAATCAAGTTGATTTCTATAAGCTTCAAACACGAATAAATGGTTTTAGTGTTCTTAGTACTTTCAACTAAATTGATTTGGAGATTTTAGATTATCGGGTTTTATAAGAAATATATGTAATCTTGGGTTGAGTTGAATTTTATGTCTGGTCTGGTTTTGTGTTTAGTAAGATTTTGGTTTGTTCGATTCACTACTCAGAATTGAAGATTCCAAATTTGGTTTCACAAAACCAACATCCATCGGTAGATGAGACTGTAACTTCACATTTGGGAATAGATAGAAAGATGAATAATTCAGGAGACATCTGATGATGTATGGTTGTTCTTGTGAGGAAATAGCTCTTCATGAATCTTGATATTGTTATTAATGTTTTTGTAACTCTACATGAATTGATTGAATTTGTATAAGCTATCTCACACAATAGTGAAAATATTGACACATATTACATATATATACATAACAATGCTACAATAGCATTAATTTAATATGATGAACATATTTACATGGATTTAAAGAAGTGGATAATGAATTACAAAAATAGTAATAAACTGATTTTAATTTGCAATATAGGAAGCATGAATAAAAATAGGTCAAAGTAAAACCAAAACATTTATGAATTATGATCAGAAACAATTCTTAAAATATAATAATGTAATTGTTGATGTATGTGTGAGCACAAGTGGTGCATTCACATCACATAGAAAGGTGTAAGTTAAGAAATGTCAAAAAAATATTAATGGATTCATTATTTCATTGGATTAATAGAAACTCATGAATTACTATAAAGAACATACAATGACATAAAATTGAACTATATTTGAAAAATCGAAAATATTGGTAATAAACTTTTATTAACATAGACAAGCTGAGATTAAGACTACTCATGATTAGACCTTTTATAAGATGATATATTCAATCAACTATTTTATAGGATTGACAATCATATGTAGATAATGATACTAACTTATTCATTAATATAAAGAGTAAATATCAACATATATTAAACCATATATAGAAAATCGAGAATATTGATATGAATAATCTTGTATTGACCTAGACAAGATGGGATTTAATTGTTAGGGACTATACCTTTTACAAGATGAATATGAGTTATTTTATAGATTATTTTGTAGGGCTGATACTAATATAAAAATAATGTTACTAGCTTATTCAATTATATCAAAAATATAAGGATAGAAAATTAAATCATATATGAAAATAGAGAATATTGATAATAATGAACATGTATCAACATAAACAAGCATGGATTTGAAATTCTCGTGATTACCCTTCTTTATAAGATAAATAAAACCCTATAAAATTCCAAACCAAAATTGAATAACGTTAAATATAGCAAATAAAGAACATATAAATATAGAAATCAAGATTTTATATGAAATTAGTGAACATAAGAAACAATGAACCTAAACTGAATTAGATATGATATGACAATCATAAAAACATGTACAATGATAAAAAAAAAAGATAATGGAAAATAATAAACTTAAATCGAACAACATTAAATACTGTTAAAACGATGTATAATGATAAAAATCAAATTTCAAATGAGAATTAACATATATAGAAAATAAAAAACTTCGATTAAATTATGTAAAATATGGTAATCACAAAAACATATAACAGCAAAAATCTAATTCCTAGCTGGAAATAACTAACCTAAACATACATTTCTAAACACTCAAATCAGTAATGAATATAAAGATGCTTGATGCAAATAATAATAATATAAAGAGGCTTGTTTAATTATAGAATGTAGTATAAACCTAAATCATAGACTCTAAATAACAATTTTATGAATAAATCTAAAATTATGCTTCCAACATAATCACCCTTAACATGTCTTTAATATGCTATGAAGCGTTATGATAAAAAAATATTAATATCATGTTAAAATGAGAAATGTGATTGGATTAGTCAAAAATGTGATTAGAAGAGTAAACATTAACATTATGCACACAAAGTATTATCAAGTAAAAAAAATAAAATACCAGAACAGAAAGAAATTCAACCTACCATTTTGATTGATTTCAAAGGCATTGCCATTGGTTAGAAATCATGTGGGTTTCTGGAAAAAAAAATTATTAATATCTAATTATTTTTATTTTTTTACAAACATTAGTTGGTTAATTTTAATGACACACATAATACTCCATATGTTTCTAAATGATGCATTTTTTGATTAACACATATTAAGAAAACAAATTAAAATTTAATTATAAATGTAGCATTTATAAGCTAGTAATGTATGCGTAAATAACATCCTTAACTTTTTGAAGTTTACAATTTACCACTGTTAATTACTAAAAAATTGCATAAAATGTAAAGTATATCTTTTAAAAATATAATTTTATTTAAAATACTATCTTGTAGGATCAAACGGGGTATTAGTTTATCTCCAAAGGCTAGAACTTCTCAAGAAAAAGCTTTTTCTACTCTCTCTTCTTTTTAATTTTAATTTTTCTTTTATTGGTGAAAGACTATGCTAAAAACATAACTGAGAATGTCTATGTCTAACCAGTAAGGCAGTAACCATGATCTATGTATCAAGTTTCACCAATAACTTTTTTTTTGCGATTATGTTGCAAATCTATCAAGCACAACAACGATCAATACTACATTGAACGCAATGATTAGTAGATAGCAGATTGTTTTACCCAAAAAAATTGATTAGCAGATTGTGGTGACCACTATCATACCTTTAACCTAGCCAAGTCACATTCAATGCAACGTATAACTTTGCTCATCTATTCATACGCGTGTCTGTGTGCGTGCGTGCATGTGGTCTGTCTAATCAATTTTTTTTTTTTTTGAAACTATGTCTAATCAAATATTAAACGAAGTCAAACACCGAAACAAACAAACAAACAA